TGGTGCCCGGGCTGAGCGGGTCGCCGGGGATGGGGATGTCAGCGACCCCGTCTCTCAGGCTAGGGCCGGCACCGAGAGGTACACAGAAGGCGTCTAATGAGTGTGCAGATGCACAAGTTAGGACAGGGCGCTAAGAGTGAGAACAACAGAAACCGCAGCTGCAGCTCTGTTCTGTGCTTTCCGTTTCACCCCACCGCAGGACGGGCACGCGCCCATGCTTCCCTGGTTCCTTCCGTCCAGTAAATGCAGGGATGCTGGTCTGCCTTTCCCCAGCGAGGCTCAGAAAGAACCGGTGAATGCTGGGCACTTTGGGAGACTGAGGCGGGCGGTTCCCTTGAACCCAGGAGTTCTAGACCAAATCTGGGAAACATAGTGTGATCCCATCTCAAAATATATAAAATAGGCTGGCGCAGTGGCTCACACCTGTCATCCCAACACTTTGGAAAGTGGGGCGAGATAATTGTCTGAGTCCAGGTGTTCGAGACAGCCTGGGCACCTTGGCAAGACCTCGTCTCTACAACAAATCAAAAATTAACAGGGCGTGGTGGCACATACCTGTAGTCCTAGCTACGTGCAAGGCTGAGGTGGAAGGATCACCTGAGCCCAGCAGGTCGAGGCTGTGGTTGCCAGGAATGTGCCCCTGCATGCCAGCCTGGGCAACAAAGTGAGACTCTGACTCAAAAAAAATAAATAAAAATAAATATATATTTCTATATAATTCAAATATATATTCACATAAATATATATATATATATATATATATATATTTTTTTTTTTTTTTTTTTTTTTTGATTTGGAGTCTCACTCTGTCGCCCAGACTGGAGTGCGGCGGCCACTCCTGGCCACCGCAGCTTCGACTTGCTGGGCTCCAGAGATCCTTCCACCTCAGCCTTCCAAGTAGCTGGAACTACAGGCGTGCGCTACCACGCCCGGCTGATTTTTGATTTATTGTAGAGATGAGGTCTCCGCCAAGTTGCCCAGGCGGGTCTCGAACCCGCGGGCTCAGGCAATCCACTCACCTCAGCCTCCCAAAGGCGCGGGATTACAGGCTGAGCCACCGAGCCGGGCATAAATATATTTTTTAAAAAGAAAAGATGATCTCCAGCTGTGGAAGGTGCTGAGAGTCATCCTCACAATCACTGAACTGCCTGCCCTTGTGGGTGGGGCCCCAGGAGTCTCCTGGGCCCACAGAGACCTTAGCAACGCCAGCCACCAGGCTTGTTGCAGCAACAGACTCAGGGCATTTGGCGGCCGAGTAGCACTGCTGGAGCAAGCCAGATCCGTCTCGCCCATGGAGCATGCAGTGGACCCCAGCTCCAGGAATGTGCACATGGCCAAGGGGACCGTGGAGAATGTGAGTCCTCCAGGATACTGCTGTTCCTGCCATGGGCCTGGGGCTTCCTTCCCTCAGAGGCCAGGAGGGGTGATCCTGGGTTCAATCCTGGTCAGGGAGGGGCTGGCCCAGCTCAGCCAGGCTGGCAACTGCATGGGCGTGAGCCACAGCCCAGGCCTGGGACCCACCTTGGGGATGGGTGGCGATTCCCCCTCAGGTTGTGCCTCGAGCCGAGGACTGGCTGCCAGGGGTTCCCAGGGGCCCCCCAGTGTGGGCCACCAGCCTGGAATCAGAGCTTCCATCCACTCTTGAGCTGAGTGAGGCACAGTGGCTGCAGGTGGGTGTGGGGTCCCAGAGTGCTGAGGAGGGAGGCATCCCCAGGGCCTCACAGACACCACCGCTCACCAAGGCCACCCACAGCTCTCCAGGGAGCTGGTGGATGTTCAGGTGGCAGCCCATCGCCTGCGGGAGCAGCACGAGGCTGAAATCTTCCAACTGAAGAGCGAGGTTGGTGTCGGGGGCAAATGCCGTGGGAGGGGGTGCACACAGGCTCACGCCTGTGGGTCCCGCCTCCCCATGCGTGCTGTGGTTCCTGTGTGTGCCAGGCTTATCTACCCCGGGGCCCGGCAGGCCAGTGCACCTGCTCACGCCAGATGTCCCCAGGTCCTCTGGCTGGAGAGCCGCGTGCTTGAGCTGGAACAGCACAAAAGTGGCGCCTGCCAGGGGTGTGCAGCCCCTAACGAGGTCGACTTGGGGCACCGCCAGGCACCAGTCCATGAGCTTGAGTGCAAAGCCTGGGAGCCTGGGCACTCCGACCACCACAGACTTCAGGTCACATGAACCCATGGGGGGCCTGGCTGGGTGGGCTGGTGGGGCCAGGTGGGAGCCCTGGCAGGGGCAGTGAGACAGTGACTCACTTCTCCAGTCCTCTGCCCTCCCTCCCATCCAGGTGCAGACCTCTGAGTGCAAGCAGCGGAGGCAGAGGAGCAGTGTGAGTGCCCAGCCACCAGCCGAAGCAGGAAGGGGCAGCCCAGGGGCCCGAGGCTTGAGGTCTTATCCAACCAGTCCCTATGTGCTGTGACCTGCAGCCTCCGGGAAGCCAGGTGCAGCCGCAGGCAGAGGCTATGTGGACTCTGGAGCAGAACAAGGCCCGGCAGCAGGCACTGGAAACACGAGTGTGAGTGGCCATCCCTCCTGGGCCCTGGCGACCCAGCAGGGTCCAGTGCCCACACAGCTGTCCCCCGGGCGGCAGGACCCCCCTCCATGGGCCTGGCTCAGCCTCCATTCTGTCACAGAGCCACCCTGGGCCACCAGCTACAAGGAGCCCGCGAGGAGGCCCGGGCAGCCAGGAAGCAATTGGCCGCACAAGCTGTGGTGAGGCCCCATCCTGCCCACTGTGAGATCTAGCAGGTGGCGCCCTAGCTCAGCCAGGGGCCCCTCCTCAGAGCACAGGCTGAGAACTGCCTCCACCCAGGTGTTGTCTGGCTGTCAGGGCCAGCTCCGTCAGGCTGAGGCCGAGAACACCCGGCTGCAGCTGCAGCTCAAGACACTGAATGAGGAGTACACCCTGCGGCTGCAGTGCTGCGCCCGGGAGGCAGCGGTGAGCTGTGGTGGCCCTGTGGCCACAGGTGGAGGACTGAGTCCTGGGGAGCCCACACCTGGCCTGGAGGCCAGGCAGCTTCAGGGAGACCCTGTGGGCCCCTGCAGGGACTGGTCTGCAGGGGTGGGAGATGTTGGAAGGGCCAATCAAGCCCTCCCCACACAGGCCCCGCCCCACCCCTCTCCCCCAGGAGTATGCTGGTGGTGCTGGCCAGGAGCCCACAGCTGCACCCCTTGGGCCGTTCCTGGAAACCACTCTGAAGGACATCCGGGCAGCCCACCGCAGCCGAGAGCAACAGCTGGCCCGGGCTGCACGCACCTACCGCAAGCGCCTGGCTGATCTGAGCCGGAGACATGAGGAGCTGCTAGTTGCCCGAAGGTGGGCCCTGCCCTGACACAGGAACTGGGGTGGGGGTGGGGGACTGCATGACCCAGAGTGTTGGCTCAGTGTGCAGCAGGAGCGGCCCCAGACTCTGGCAAGCCCCGACGGGACAGCCGGGACCCCCAAGGCCACTTTTGCAGCCCCCTCGGACCCAAAGCCGCTGCCCGGGCACCCTGTCATGGAGCCTGGCCACCTGCAGGAGGACCAGGTGAGGCTGGCAACCCTCCAGCAACCTCCCTGCTGCACCACACTGGCCATGGGGCACAGAGCCTGGGATTCACCCCGGCCCCACAACGGGCCCAGAGCCAGGGCCCCAGAGCCAGGGCCTAGGAGCCTGCCTGGTTCAGCCAGCCAAGGAGTTCCCCCACAACCTTTACAGCTCAACAGGCTTGGGGTGCTGCTCTTGTCTCCACAAAAGGGACCCGGCAAGACCTCCCAAGCAGGAACCTCGGAGCCACAGTGAGTGCCCTCAAGGGGGCATGGTGGGACCTGCAGGGACAGGCAGAAAGCACCTGTGGCCCGCCGTCCTCAGAGAGTCCACCAGTCCTCATGGCTGGTGGTTCTGGTCACAGCAGTGCAGAGAGGCCTGTCCCTGCACATGGGTCTCTCAGTCAGTATGTGGGACATGATTGTTACAGAAAAATAGGGTGACCCATACTAAGTGCCAGATGGGGGAGGAGGCCTGTCCAGAGGGGAAGGGAGAGTTATTTCTGCTGAGACGCGAGGGCTCAAGGGTAAAGAGCAGGAGGGAGCCAGCTGCTGGTGACCTGGCATGCCCTCTTTTCTGGGTTTCCTGCTTCCAATTGTATAGCGAGCAGAGCTCTCAAAGGAGCACCTTCCAGGGTCTGGGGAACACCAGGGCAGAGAGGTAGCATCCCTGTGGACACTGGGGTCACTGTCTAGTCTGGCTTGTGGCTCCACCCTCCCTGAGCAGCCAGTGGGCCCTCTGGGCCTGGGCTGCCCTGCCTCCACGCACAGATAGCTCCAGGACCTGGGCAGAGCCATGGTGGCAGGGTGGGCCCATTTGGTAGCAAAGTCACTCCCAGCTGGTACCACCTCAAGGGTCTGGGAACTGTGATTCCAGCAGGGTCATGGGTCACCTCCTGGGCCACATGCCAGCCCTGAAGACACCCCCTCCCCCATCCATAGGGGCTCGGACACTGTATCCTGGGCTCAGATCTGCCAGAAGCTCCGTGACTTCTCCTGTGGCACCCAGGTAGTGGGCAAGGCCTGGCCGGGGTCCTCCATACACTATCTGGCTCATGGTTTATACCTCCATCCCAGGCAGAGCTGGAACAGGAGCGGACACAGCTGCTGGTCCGGGCCACGGTGGCTGAAGAGCAACTTTCCGAGCTACAGGAGTACGTAGGCCAGCACCTGAGCAGGTGGGCACTTGGAAGGAGGGGCAGGACCCGAGGTCTGGGCCATCCTGGGCGCTAAAGGCAGACCGGCCCATGGTCAGATGTGCGACTTAAGCCTGATTCCTTTGAGCAGGTACAAGCAGGAAGTCCTGAGGCTGAGGAAACTGGTGGGTGCAGCGGACCCCTGAAAAGTGGGGATCATGCTTCCAGGCAAGCCCCAGCATTCCAGGATGTGCTGCCGCTAGCCAGTCATCCAAGGAGTGGGCAGACCCTTCACAGGCAGCATGAAACCCCCACCCAGCCCTCCACAAAACAAGAGTCAGAATGGAACCCACAGAGTCTTTATTGTGTCTGAACAGTCAACCACTGTTCAGGGGCTCTGGGGACCAAAGCAGAACTGGGTCCCAGGGGCACCTTGATGGGTACCCCCTAAGAGGAGACAGCCTCGCCAGCCAGCCCACCATGGATGTCATAGGCCCAGACTCGGTCCAGGCCCTCCCCCACCACGGTCACAGGCTGCCAGGTGGGGAGCGGAAAGCGACCGGACACCACCCGGGCACCCGCGGGCAGCTCTGCCTGCAGCTTTTTCTCTAGCATTGGGAGCTGTGGGGGAGAGCAGGAGGGTAGAGGGGGCCAAGAGCAGGGCGCAGAAAGCAGTTTCCCCAACCCAGCCGGTGCAAGCCTAGCACCCACCCTGGGCCAGTCCCCAGGCCTCAGAACAGCAAGCACCCTGAGCTGTGGCTTGGACCTCCCAGGGGGGCTAACAACTCCAGACATACCACGCTAGGGGCCAGGAACACCGATACATTGTAGCAGTCCCTCAGGCTCACCTGCAAGAAGAAGAGGTTGCCTCAGCCAGGGCAGAGATCTGGTGGGCATGAGGTCATTGCAGCTTCCAAGTCCCAGCCTCCAGTCCACCCAGGTGTCAGGAGCACCTGGGGCTGTCAGCAGGGTGGCCAAGCCGGCACCAGAAGCGTGGGGATCAGGTGTGAGGTCTGAGGGAGTCCAAGACCCCCTGGGTTACCTTCCAGAAGTCCTCACGGCGGTAGCAGATGCTGCGGGCACAGCCGGCCCTCCAGGCGAGCAGCCGCGCCAGCCCCACCAGCCACGGGTTCAGCTCGTAGCCCACAGCCGGGCGGAGACCACACCTGTGGGCCGCCAGCACCTGTGGGGACCGAGAGCGTGGGGACCAGGATGTGGGGCGGAGGCGGGGGATGGGCAGCTGGGACACACACAGACGGGACTTACGATCCTGCCGTCGCCGGAGCCCAAATCCACCATCTTTCCAGAGCGGCCTCGCAGCAGCGACAACACCTGCTTCACCTGCTGCGCGCTCGCGCCGACGTAGGGCACCTGGGCAAGGAGATGCGCGGGCAGGAAAGACGGGAGTCCGCTGGCCACCCCTGACCCTCACAGGGCCTGGAGCGGGGACCTCGCCGCCTGGGCGCCCCCTCTTAGCGCCGGACTTTCAGGTCCCCGGAGCAGGCGCCAGCCAGCAGCC